TTTAAGTCTTAATAATAATAAATTTTAATAAATCATTTTATTCTATGGTAGATAAAATAATGTTGTTACTTTTAACTGTTAAAAAATTTTTAAAAAAAATGTTTACTTTCTTTTCCATATGTAGGGTTGTGTCACGGAACGCGAGCTAGGACGCCCAAGACAAGGGTCACAACGCCAGGATTGCGGTGCAACGCAAAGAAGTCAATTTTGTACCGTATCGGCCGGTATGGTCGGTACGTATCGGTTTTAACACTTGACCGAAACGCTACAACATCAAATTTCGTTTCGGTCAAAATTTGGTCGTTCCGGTCAAAATTCGATGTACCGGCCGAAATTTTGTGTACCGACCGGCACACCAAAATATCACCGGTACACCTAAGTTCAAACTAAAAAAAAAAAAAAACAATGGATTTCATATTGCAGATCTATTTATGTTCTCCTTCTTCATCACGAACGATGAACGCCACACGCCGCACGTCGCGAACGTCTTCCTCAACCTGTCGCTGGTGGGTTGGAGATTCAATGAATGCTTCGCTTCCGTGATTACAGGCTAGATCTGCTTCATCTTCTCCCCATTTCTGGTAGCTGCCGAACCCTTCTGCTTTGGTGATTACCGGTGATGAAGGTGGAGGCTGTGATGATGATGAGATGCTCAGCAAGGGGATGGTGAAGATTCGAGGTGAAAGAACGGAGGTGATGGTGGCGATGGTGGATCTGCAGAAAGGAGAAAAATCAAGTTTTTTTTTTTTCTGTTTTCTCTTCTTTTTTTTTTTTTGTCTTTTTGGTTTAGTAGCCGTCCTTCTCCTTCTCCCTTTAAAAGGAGGAAACTAGGGTTTTTTAAATTTGGGTTTTGATGGGCTGCTCAATATTGGGCTGGGCTTATGGGTCTATTTTAGTAAATTTCATCCTCAACTTTTTAATTTTTTCAATTGAGTCCTTTTCTTGTTTTTTTTCTTCAACTTCTCCCCAAAATTTTTCATAAAATTTTTTTATAACGATAAATCTGAAACGGTACGCGAAAAATTCCGGTATCCGGTACGTACCGTTCCAATAACAAAACCGGTACGCATGCCGGTACAGTATTGACTACTTTGGTGCAACGTCGTGGACTCGACGGCTTGGTGCGCTCACGCGGAGCGTCTTGATGGCACGGCCGCAAGCGGAACAGGTGTCGACACTCAGAAAGCAAGCCAAAATCAAGGTGTCGACACGCTGGCACGATCTAGAACCGCGCGGAGCTTTCCAGAAGCAGCCTGTGCGCGGGGATAAGGACCAGACAGTGGTCTGGAATGGGCTTTCTGGGCTTGGACTGCATGTAGAAGTTTTCAGAGCCTTTTACGTAATTCTAAAGTAAGGAAAATTCTAGAATTAGATTAGGAGGGAGAGTTTGAGAGTACTCTAGAGAGTGTAAATATGAAGGTTTATAAAGACTCTTTAGGAATGCTCTAGAACCTCTACCTGGGGTGGCTGGTTTCATCTATAAATAGGAGGAGCCACATAAGGGAGGGTGTGCTTAGCCAAGCATTCACCCAAGCTCTTGTAAATTTTCTTAATGTTTAACACTACTGGAAAAAGCAGTATATTCGACAAAAGATTCTGTCGAATATGAATGCTTTTCTGTCGATTAAATTATAATCGAAAGACATATTCGACAACTTTTTTTGTCGACTATACTGCAGTCGATAATCAGTATATTCGACAGCCAATTTCTCTGTCGATTAAACAAGTATAATCGACAGAATTTTACTGTCGAATATATTGATTATCGACAGCCAGATTTAT